AAAACCCCAAAACCCCAAAACCCCTCTGGATAAATCTTCATTCAATAAAAGTGGAAGAAAAAAACTTACTAATTAGCCTATTTCATATCTCCGATAAAAATTATGATAATATTAAATTTATTATTTACTTTGTTATAATTATCAAATAATGGTGAAACTAAATTCTACTTTATTTTGTCTCATTTTTATCAACGGAGTTAAAGAAGGATTTTTCTTAATCTTGGCACCCTTTCTACCAGAATAATTGCAAGAAAAAGGAGTTTCAATGTCTGTATTTACGCCTTTATATATGTGAGACATTTTTCAACTTGATTTACCAAAATTAATAGATGCTACCCAATTTGTTTCTTTAGTTCTTCTTTAATAGGAGGTAAAATTTAAGGGAAAATAGGAAGAAAATTGATGGTCAGAATAGCATTGATACAATAATTTCTCGCGGCATCAACATTTATTTCTATGAACTATATTGATAACTAGTAAACTTATGATATTTCATTGTTTTAGATCACTATTTTTAGCGCTTGGATTTCTAGCAAGAATCATATAAGGTATTGGAGGAGGGTTTCTTTAAACAGCAGGTACAAAATTCGGGATTAAATAGTAATATAGCATATTCTGAACTTCTGATTCAGTTTCCTCAATATGAGAAATAACTTGTATCATGGATTGAATTTGGAGCAGGTAAACTATTTTTGATTCTCAATTGTGCTTTTAGTTGGAGGTGGTTTTGTGGGATTAGTTTTCTCTTCATTTTTATCATACTTTTTAGGGTATATTGGACCATTCGCATTATGTGGTAAGAAACAAATTTTTTTTTAAATTTGCTTAATAGATGTTATATTTTTCATTTTTGTGCTCTTTCAAGATTGCTTGATTAAATTTGTAAAGCCCGAGGAAATTTAAAATCATTAAGCTAACCAAGTCTTGATTATAGAAGGAAGTTTGTTGAGAATGGAGAAAAAAAGTCTATTAGAAATGAATTAAGCTACCTAAAATTAACAGAAAATGTATAATTCAGGTTTACTAGATAAGCAATATACATCATAAATAGAAATAGAGAAGAGTCATATATTAAAGCATAGTATTTTATCAGGAAGTTAATTAAAGATTTTATCAAATAACAATTCAAAGATTATAAAGCAGCAAGAGTAAGTGTATGACAAGCTTGGCTATTCTAATATACTTTTTACAATGAAAGGATTCTATGGGTGTGTTGCTGTAGCTTTGAATTTGCATACCTTTTATTATCATGATACAATTATAGCAAATTATCTCATGACGACTTATGACTTTTAGCCATGGGCAGTTTCATTAGTGCAATCGTGCTAGCCAGTAGGATTCTTACTCACTACTCACTTTGCATCTAAAATAATACCAAAGTTTAATCCTCAAATAATACTTATCTTGGCTTAGATATTCTAGGCAGGAGCCGCATTTCTAGTGGGCCCAAGTCTATTTTTCGAACTGCCAGAGAAGATTTATATTATGATTATAGGTTTATTGCTCACAGGTATGGCATCTCCATTTTCACTAATTACTCCATATTCTGTTTTGGAGTAGAGTCTTTTATCCTAGAGAGATAAGAATTTTAACCCAGAGGAGGTTTAAGACATTGTAAGTGGGATATTTAACTCTTGTTATGCTATTGGAGGAATAACCGGGCCCATATATGGAGGTTATGTTAATGATTTGACTAACTTTAGAACTACAAGTGATATAATGGCTGTTATCTTATTATTTATTGGAGTAACTTAGCTCTTGCTAGTTTATATTCCTGACAGATAAAGGCTAAAGAATAAAGAAAAATCAAATAAGAAATAATTAAAAGGAAATATCGAGAGCAAAAACGTTATAGAGACTATAGATACTGGAAACATTATAGAAGAAACAATTTGAACTTATTTCTGAGATTTCTTTTAAATTTCTCCAAGTAGAAAGTCAATCAAATGATTCAACTAAAAATATTAGAGATTAAACAGAATTTTTCTGATTACTATTTTGAATCAAAAATTAAATTAATTCATTTAAACATTATAAATAAATTACGAATTCTACTATTTTTATTCACTATGGGGTTTTGGGGTTTTGGGGTTTTGGGG